CCATTATGATGTCAGAGATCCCAGATGAACTATGACACATTAACTCGGATTTTTTTTGGGTAAGTTATCAACTTTCCAAAGTAGAAACGTGTATTTTTCAGTAAATCCGAATTTCTAATTTCGTTTTCTTGACGTTTTTATTTTATATTTTTATTACATCACATTTTAAATTTTACTTCTTATTTTCTATATTATTGTACTAATTCCACTTTCATGTAATCTTTTACTATTCAAGCAGCATTCTCTCATACCTCTCGTGTTTTCTCAGATCTGTAACTCTTTGTAGATTTTCCTTCCGAGATTTCTCCGAAAAGTATCTTTCTCATTGCAACGTCAAACAGTTTTACTTTATATTTTCTCTTTTATCTATTTTATGCTCAAATATAGCGATCGTAAGGGATGCAATCGCATATAATAAAAATGGTATCTAATGATTTCATTGTTGTAGAGGCGGCGAGCTCAGAGTTCGTATGAGGGATGCATAAAACATGCGATACATATCGCATTGTATGTACTGCGAAACATGGTACATGGGCAGATATGGTGTATATGGTGCCTATGTACAGGGGTTAGAAACCAGAGAAAATTTGTACATGGACCAAACAACTTTTTTTTTAAATTTTATTTTGGATTTGCTCGCATAGCCCCACAATTCTATGCCATAAGTCCATATTGGATTTATTACTACATTGTAAATTAGAAGTTCATTGTCAATAGATAGAATTGACTTGCGTCCCAGTAGCCAGTATAGTCCAGCGGTTCGAATTTTTATACAACTTGAACTAAAATTGTTTATATTCTGATGCTTCACGTAAACTAAGATTCCAACTACGAAGCAACAATTTCCTTGCCGGCTGACGTTAGTACTGCAAAGTTTTCTATCTATCCATGAACTCATATAAATAGTGAAACACAATTTCATTATTACTAGTTTTGCTAGTTAGGTGTGTTTTTTAGATTCACACTCAAACCAAAACTCTAATTTATCGACATTATTTTATTTTTAATAGCAGACATATTCTGTGTTAGTTTTGCAATTTTCTTCACTATTGGTATCAGAGCACAATTTGCTCCAAGTACTTAATCGCCCTTTAACCGCTCATTGGAGAGTGGATTTAGAAATAATAAAAAATTAGAAACTTTGAAATATCACCCTGCGGCTAATTTCATGTCAGATAAAAATCTTTGTATGAAAAATCGAGATTGTTTTTTAAATTAAAGATTATTTTCTCGGTCAAAATTTAGAATCATTTTCTCGAAATTTTGCAAACAAGTTTCGACTCTGCGGTAGTTACTATCAAACTCTTTGCTCATCCTTGAATACTGTTAAAACTTTTTTTATAGTGAAAAGGGAAAATATTCTACTTATTGGTAACGTAATTTTATTTTAAAAATCAATCAAAAACTACTGCTCGGAATCGATTAAAGTTTTTCACACACGTTTAATGTATCAATTCTGAAGACGTGTAATGGTTAAATGTCTGTTACAAGTTGGGTGCAAAACTTTGTAATAAAATTTTGGTTTCTTCTGGATATAGATTATGCTATACTAAACATATGAGTTATATCCAAATGTATTGTTTACTACAAAAAATACCACAAGCCTTAGTACATAATAAAACTTCTAAAATAGTTTTGTTCCAAGAAATTTGTTGGACAACTTTTGTGGGTTTATTGCTATTTGTAATGGATATTAAGAATAATTATTAACAAGTTCATTATATTTTTATGGCAATTATTTGGTATTGTTTAATGACAATTTAGTTTGCTTTGCATGAAAATCGTATGATAAATACACATATAGCAATGATTTTATGCTATTCTCGTGATGAATAGTATAATATTGTTAATATTGGTGTACAACACCTATTATTTATTGTGATAATTTTTTGTTTATAAATCAGACTGAAATTCTTCGTTCTATATTCTCAGTTTGTTCTGAAATAATTTATGTTTATTTTACGAAAATCTTTTCCATTTTACATCCAACTTTGCCGTCTCATGGAAGTAAGTCCCTTGATAGTCATTTCGCTGGATGCAATATGTTCAAATCGACTTCAGTTTCTTCGATAGAAAAACCGTTGAATTAAATATGAATCAAATAGAGTCGTATCGTATAGGGATTTCCGAATAAAAAAGCATATGGTTTTTGATAAATGTTGTATTGGACTTCGAATTAATTCTATAAGTAACGAACAGGGTTAATTATATTTCGATAAAAGTCATCGTCTAATTATATGGACGTCATTGTTAATTATATGGACGGGCACAAAGGTGCAATTCGTATTTATATTTTGAAAACCAAACCAATAATGTGACAACAAATCACACATATCAAAGATACAACTATATGACTATGTTCAGTAAAACTCCTAATACATCATTGTAAGGATGTGTTTTTTTTGCTTTTTTAAAAAAAAAATTGATAGTGACGTCGTAAGAATCAAGGTGATGGCTGTTTACACATCTTTTTCCCTTTACTTGCAAATATTGTTGCTGAAAAAGCCCAGCTCTACCCTAATGAGTTTTCTGAGTTTTTAAATTAAGTGATTAGAAAGTTTTATGTCTTGATACTTCTCAATCTAAAAAATCAACAATCTTCAACTGCTTATTTCGAAAATAAAGATTTTGCATTTACTATAAAATAATCAACGTTTTTTTTTTTATTTATATAATCGGATCAGGCATGTAAAAAGATGAAGAGCGTAATTTCAGTTTGATTTGAAACTATTTTGAAAATAACTAAATTAACTTCCTTGTTGCTAGTTAGAAAATAATTGGAAAAATACAACACCCTTACAATTTCATTGAAGTCTTTGAATTATTCATAGCATATTATTTGTGTAAGAAAACAATTTATTAGAACATGATAAAAAAATAGATCCTATTTATTTATTCCTAATAGTAGCTACGGAATTTCTGACAAATTTAGTTGAAATTATGATTTTTGTTTAAATATACAGTATTTGTGTTTATAATACTTAGAGTTATTTTTAGTCTATCCAAAATAAAATATAAAACTAAATCGTTTGACGTTACAATAATAAAGACTACAGACTTCTCGAAGAAGTCTCAGAAGGAAAATCTTCAAAGAACTCTAAGGAAACATAAGAGATGTACACAAAGGTACAATAGAATGCAGTATGAAATATTGAAATTACGTATTTTGTAAAACAGAATCAAATATAACCTGGAATAGTTGAAGTTCGAATAGAAGAAAATTAAGACAAATTGGGCAGATGTTTGATAAACCATCATCTTCCAAATTTTTTTCCTTACCACTGAATTATCTTAGAATACGTATCATGAGTATAATTTAAAATATTGCATAGGAAATGTTTAGATTTTTTAAAAATATTCCGAAAAAAAACTTTACAACAATCTAGAGAACATAAATTGGACAGTATTGAAAGTCAGTTTAAAACAGGTTGCAAAATTCATATTTGAGAAGATGAAGTTTTGGACAGATTTCATAAAGCTCTTAATTTAATTTTATTTAAATGAATATTATTGAACATTCAGCGAAGAAGATGGGTACAATAAGTTATTTATTCTTTGTCAAAACATTGATATAATTATTTGTTTTATGTATATACACATATATTGGTCGGTTTTCCAGTTTTTTTCACTTAGGTTAATCTAATATTGGAGCATGATTTTAGTATGTTTTTTATGTCATTCGTAGTATAATGTGAAAATCATTTATTTGGTGCAAAGCAACCAATGCAATTAATTTGGAAAATGCATACTGCAAAAACATGAGCAAATTTGGCTAGTAACAGATGTGCCTACTTTTGTAATTTTGGAGCTAATTTATGTCGCTAGTTGTTTACAAATTGGCACAATTCTCCTCCTCATTCAACATAATTCAAAATAATCCCTTTCAAAGAATATTTCACATTAAATAAAAGTCCACATCCTTAAACCCAAATCTCATTGTATGCATTTCAGTAAGGGGTTTTCATCGCAAATGCGACCAGTATCAATGTATGCATAAAAGAGGATTATTGAAGACGGACGACCGAATGAATTCCAAGCAAAATACATCGGATTCACAAGCACTCTCTATGCAGTCGATACAAACTGCATAAATCAGATAGGAAATTCGGAAAAAAGGTACAAAAAATAAACAAAATTGAAATTCATACAATTTTCCACGCCCATTACGCTTATCGAGATTACTTCGGAAAAGCCATCGACAATGTATTCATTGTGGTGATCCGGTCATTGGAAAGCACTCGTTATGGAAAAGTGGATGGAAAATGCACTTGTGACAAAAAATTATCGGTAGATGTTTTTAGTTGGATTAACATCTATGATATAATAGATACACCTACTTGTATAGATTGTCCATTGAATAAATGGATTACAGATACCGCAATTTTCACAGAGGAAATTTTTATATTGATCTGTAGTAATTTTTTTATAAATTCATCTCTGCGTTCATTCATCTCTATTCTATAAAATTTTTCGTCAACGATTTCGAGAGCACAGATTAACCAATTTGAATAATTTAAAAAACATTCGATTGCTATAGATGGGAAGATGTGTTGATTAGTTTTTCGCAAAGACAATTGTTTCAAACATACAAGGCAAACAGTTCTAAAAATGCCAATTCCGTTTTTAAGAGAACGGAGCATCCAATTAGAATGGTTCAAAAAGTCTTATACTAATATTGACGGAGTGATGATTGATGACGATTGATGATTTTCTAGAAAAGCAAGTTCAGCAGTTTTGGAGATGCAGAAGAAAAGCACCAAAAACTGACATTTGGTGAGAAGATTACCAGCCCGTTTTAAAAATTTAGGTCGAAAAGTAAAAAAAATGCCAATTACGTTTTAACCGGTTAGATTGATTCAAAGAGCCTCTTACTAATATCGACAGAGTGAAGATTCATTTTTGCAAGGGTAGGCCAGCGGATTTGAAGACTGAGAGTTCAATAGAAAAATTTACAAACAGCTTTAATCTGACCTTTCATAGATTTCGATAGCGATTTATTTCTACCACCCACCTTGTAAATCTGATACTATGAGCGGATAGATCTGAGCAGCGGACAAGCAAAGTCCCAAATCGCTGAAGTGCAGAGGCACTGGTGAAGCAGGTCGAGTCTGAGTGCCGTGGCTGATCGAATGCGTAGAATGGTGAGCAGATGGCTGAGAATGAGGCGGAGGCTGGTGCGCCGTCTGCTGCGTTTGTCTACTTAGTACGGTGCGATGATCCAGCGGTGATTCAGGCTGAGATTCGGACGACTCGTGCCTATGAGATCGATGATTGCCTGAAACCAAGATAATCTTCTATATATATATAAAAATAAGCCGGGTTTTCGTCCCTGACGAAATAAACGCACGAACTGATTTCGACAATTTTGCATTCGTTGGAAAGGTCTCGGGCTCCGCAAGGTTTATAGCTAAGAAAATCAGTTGTGCATGGCATAGTGCCTTAATGCAAGCTGCTGGAACTTCACGCACCGTAATTAAAAATTCGAGTAATGACATTAGTGAGAATTATCAGAATTATCCTTGGTTAAGTCAACGAGCAATTCTTGCCGCAAAGAATAATAATGTACATGCACTGAATTTCACCATTCAATCAAAAATTGCTGGTGATTTGGTGACATACCAATAATTCCGACTGGTCTTCCGTTTGACTTCAAACGATTGCAATTTCCAGTTCGCCTTGCGTTTGCAATTACAAGTCTCAAGGCCAATCGCTTAGTGTGTGCGGGATAAATTTCAAATAGATTATTTAGAAAATCATTGTTTCTCACATGGGCAGTTATACGTTGACTGTTCACGAGTTGGAAAACCATACGCTTGGTTTGTGTTAACGTCAGACCAAAAAACAAAAAATGTGGTTTACCAAAGAGAACTTCAATGAAACGGATAATTTGCGGATTCACTTTCATTTACTAAAGTTCAACTAAAAAACACTTCATTTTTGTAATCGAAAATGAATCATTACTGTTGTATAATAAAATCAATTTTTTTCTTTTCAAATATAAAACAAACAAAAAATTTCTTCATCTTTCTCACGAAACCATCTGGTGGCGAAACGGAGTTCGTCGGGTTTGCTAGTAGATTTATAATACTATACTTGACTTTTTCCTATTTCCTTTATCTCACCTGAATGGAAATGATTAGAGGCCGTTTGCGATGACGTGGCGATGTGGTGATCGTGTTGCGTACTCGTCGTGCGATGATGATGTGGCTGCTGATGTTGATGGTGCTGTTGATGTTGATGGTGCGTCGAGAGGCGTCGGCTCATCGGCGTCTCCCTGACGCGATCGCGTTCGATGGGATCCGACGGGGAACGGTGCAACAGGTGACGTCGGTCCAGGTGCTCGTCGGCTGCGTGCCAGAACTGCGACTCTTCTTCGACAAGGTCGTGCTGAGTAATAGATAGATCAAACATATAAATTAAATTTGTTTGAATTTGTTTCATCAAATAACTATTGGTGACATCCTAATGAATTAGTGGTTAAGTCAACTCAATGGATAACTTATACAATTGTATCCACTACCCCAAGGGGTCCCGGGTTAAATAGAAAAAGCCATGGTCAAATCTTGACCAATATTGATTGTCTTGAAAATGTTATAGATTCAAAATTTATGCCTCAACTCGCAAAAAGGTATAATTATTTAGTGAAATAACGAAAAATTTGGAATGGGGCCTAAAAGTTACGCGTGCCCATGAACGGTTGTTTTAAATTTATAGCATTATTTCCATAGGAAACCTTACCCAGTATATTCACACACACACACACACACACACACACACACACATATATATATATATATATATATATATATTAGAGATGGGCTTATCATATCCTAAGCCGAATCGACTCGGATTTGACTCCGCTTCAAGGAGGAGTTATATCCGCTAAACAACTCGACGACTCCGACAACTTTGAAACCGAAATACTCGACACAAATGTGTTCTATAGTGCGTTTTTTATGTATCTAAGGATTTGTCAAATCCCATTTAATTTTTTTCAAATGAAAATTTACGAATAAAATAAAATTAAAAAAAATCAAGAAAATAATTTTTCTAAAAAATTCACAAATAAATGACCAGTTGTAAAACTTTTCGGTCGACCGCATGATCGACTCAATGACTCGCAATTTTAACAGTGTTGACCAAAGTAAAAACGCAAAACTTGAGAATCAAATTCAATTTAATTATTTTCTTTTGATGAGAAAATAATTGATTTTTTGAATTAATTTTATATAAAAATGATGTAGTAAACTTTGTAATAAAAGCAAAACATTTATCATAAAATATTTTCACAAAATAATAATACTACTTTCTAATTTTTTCTTCTGCTATTTCCATTTGAGAATTAATATTATATCGGGTAGTTTGATTAGCATTATTTCTTTTAGACAATTATATAATTGTGTAAAAGTAAAAATTTAATACTATATATTTTTTGCTGCTTAAATATATTTTGCATTCTAAAGTATTGTTATTTCAGGCTATGGAAAAAACAGATTAAATGTATTTTGTTTCGTGTATTTTTCGGTATGTATATTCCTGATTGCCGTCATTCACGGCGAAAGATTGTCGTAGTTAGAAATATGACCCCTTACTATTCAATAAATTATACATTGAAGCTATTCACACTTGAATACAATATCATTGTTCTGTATCTTTGAAGTAATATTTTTGTATTTTCTGAAAAAAACGTATACATTAATGGTCATAAAACTGCCTGTGAGACGAGAAAGCGACGGCTTCCTTCCCCAAGCAAAAACGCAGTAACAGATTTAGTACCATTTTAGGTAAGTCGGTTATGACAAATCCGACGAGACAACTCCACTCGAGAGTTAAGGAGGGAGGTGTTGTATCGGAGTGATAACTCCGGAGCGAGTTGCCCATCTCTAATATATATATATATATACATACATATATATATATATATATATATATAATATACTACTTCCTTTTTATTACCTGATAAGAAACTGGTTGCGCGCTATGAGGACGTTGCTCTTCCGGTTCTTCCGGCTGAAGGAGGTGCTGCGGACGATGGTTGAGGTGCTCGCTGTGTCGCTGTCGACCTTTGTCGGATGACCGTCTCGAGGCCATGACACCACGGACAGCTGATGAGGAGGCATTGACAAAATTTTGCTTTGGTTTCGGATTAAACGATTCTCGATGGCTACGTACACACTCTTTAGGTAATCACAAATCACAAACAAAACGTGCAAAATAAAAGCAGGTGAAGTAAAAAAATTATATATTAATCATAATAATAAATGTAAAGTATATGATAAGGTGTATGGAAATACCCAGTGACATCAAAAAATTGTCAGAAAATAAAGTAAAAAAGAAATAGAACTTTATGTATGATGTATTTGTCAAAATTCCCACATTTAAAATTGTTCTAGATAAAAATGCAGTATCAAAAATATATATTAAAGAAGAATATTGGTGTATATGGACTATAAAAAAAATATAGAACTCCTATTGTATAATATATTTGTCAAAATTCCCACGTGTGAAATTGTTCAAGATATAATTACAATATCAAGAATATATTCAAGATGAATATTGGTGTATCAAGTTGAATAGTTAAAGTTCATTTATTGATCGATTTTTGTTGTGGTGAACATGATAGTATTGTTGATCAGTCTGTAATATGCAAATTGTAAATAGTTTTCAAGAACTAACTGTTGTGCAAAGATATTGAACATAAAAAAAGATTAGAGCAAGTTATTTACAAGAAATGCATAAACGATGCAATTGCATTATTTTTACGTATATCTTAGGACCTTAGGTTATTACTATGTGACTCTAAAAGATATTTTTAACTTCCCGAAGGAGAAATTTTTGTTTTCATCAAAAAATCCGATTAGCTAATTTTATGTTTTCTCGGCGTTTCAAGCCATTCTGAATCAAATGAGACCAAATTTGGAAAAAGTATGTGTGTGTGTATGTGAACAGATTTTTGACTTTTTTTTTCATTTTCAAGTATTTATGATTTGATAATACTGTTTACTCCTTACTATACGACTTTAAGTTAGTAATAACTTTGTACTAATAGTAGCAAATGTACTACATAATTCATAAAATATTACCAAGTAGCTAAAATTAGGTAGATCATGTACCTTATATATAAAAGTTTCAAATGATTAAAATAGTTAATCTTATAAAACTAATTTTTTCCCCCTAAAATGATGAAAAAGATGTCACTGGGTACTAAAAAAATAATTTGTTCTTAAATATAAGAGTAAAAATAAATAAATTTATGAAATGTACATACCTAAGTTGCGTTTTCT